TGCACGTTTGCACATGTGGATTAATTCGGTTTGTTTACTTTGATATGATTATTACACATACAACGCACTTGTATTTTATACATGCATACATATAAATTATATATATATATATATATTTCATTTGGCATTGAGAAATGTATTGGCTACTAAATTGCAATATATTTTAATAGTTCTTAGCGCTTTAAACATTCATAGAACGTTATTGAAGTAATGGATGTAAAACTATTGAGAATGCAATTATGGCATAATAACATTATTTAAAGTCAATATCGTAATATTTTTATTATATTTCCATCCAGCTTAATCAGAACTTAACGAGTACTATGAGCTGTTGTGCTGACTTCTTTTAAAGGTTCGGCTTTTTATAGACGGCAACCCAAACGGTTATTGAATCTATGTGAATAACCCTCCGTCGGTCGGCGTGGTCTGGCCGACTTTTTTCGACTTCAATTAAAAAAAAAATATTTCTAGTAATCCTATCGACTTGAAATTTCTTGACTTTTCCTAAATTTTCATTAGCTATCGATCATTGAAAAAATCAGGACGAAAAAATGTACAGAAGGATAATTATAAGGATATTAACTCTTTTATACTTAGAACGGTCGGAAAGGTCTGTCCAGACCACCCTTACATTTTGTATGAAATATACGCTTTTTGATATATGTAAACCAGTATTTTGTCTTTTTTCATGGTATTTTTCTATTCAAACTGCGTTGTATACTTGTTTATCTATGGTTGTATATATTCTTTGTTATGTGTTGTAACATGAATGTTAGTATTTTCATGACGAGAGTTCCTTGAAAACCTACCAAATTTATTGGTAATCGCAAACACTGAAAATCGGATGAGTAATGCACACATTATCAAAAAAATTTCTACCCGTACTGCATTCGAATTTTTTTTTTGGCAAACCTGTAGTGAAATTATATTTTCACTTTGAGTTTTACAGCTCATTTCAAAGGCGACGCACCTCATTTCGTTTTCATTTAAATTTCACATTCATTTCAAAGGCGCCGAAAAAGAATAAATATTGTTTTTCATTGATATAAAACAGAAAAATTAACAAAAAATGCAACGATTTTTTATATTTCTTGATTTTTTTTATATAATATAATATGTAATATTTTTATTTAAGCAAGCTCAACACATGCAAAAGACGGTAAAAAAAGAAAAAATCAAAACTATAAATATTTACTACTAATAATCGTTAATATATAAGACACCAAAAACTCATTTATCCCATATAAATGCATGTAAATTGAATGGTGGTCTAGCCAGACCTTTCCGACCGTTCGAAGGTGAAAAAATATCCGACCGACGGAGGGTTAAAAATTAGTGTTTCAATTTCTGTAAAACCGATTTTTTTTTATTGGTGCAGTGCCGGTAAAGGGCTATTTTCATTTGGAAACATATTGCTATCTATATTTCCTAGTTAAAACTGATGTCACTACTGCTTGATATCAGGCTGTCAAATGTGGTTATCGAACTCGAAACTATTGATTGAAAGCTCATAGCTCTAACGATTATGCTGCGGTAGAGCTATATCCTATATTATTATTATGCTTATTTTAGGCATAATAATATTATGAATCATTTTAATGATTAAAGCAGAATTAGGAATCAACTACAAATTAGAACACACAAGAAAGATATATCATAAATGATATAATAGATTTTCATTGTAATTTCAGCTTAATATGTATTTTGTATAGATTGCTATAATAAATTTAAAAAAAAGATTTTCATCCCGTAGGGTAAGTTATAGTAATAGGCCGAAAATTGTAACTGAATTTTTTGCATATCTTCACGTTCCAGAGGTTTCTGAACATTTTGACATACCCCAGAAAAAATGGATGTATGTGTATGTGTGGAAACAATTTTTCGTCGATGATTTTGGACGTATGGATGAACCGATTTGAAAAATTCAAAAGGCAATCGATTCTTATTGATAGGGAGATGTGCCGATTAGTTTCTTGTAAAGTCAGGTCCAGCCGTTCCGAAGATTGTAGGCAATAAGTGTCAAAAATAGCAGTTTTTGAGAGAACAATCATCCGATTTGACACACAAGATAAGATAAGACCACAAGATTGCAGGTTCAAATTCCGCGCTACGTACACTCCTGATACCAAGTAGTAGTGATATCCGTTTTCACTTGATAATAAAAATGTTTCCAACAAAAATAGCCCTTCGGCCACTGTTGGATGTATAAAAAAGTATCTGGAAGAGATATAGAAATTTAGTATTGAAATAGAAATAATGTATGTGTAAAATCAGTATACATAATTTGGACATTTCTATAAGAAATCATGCGAACATCGTATAATAGAATAAAAATAAGGTGAATTAATAAATCTTCTAACATGGCCAATAATGATAAAAAAAATAAAAAAACTTATCTAACTTTATCTGTTATAACTAAAATGAGATTAGATTCCAAAAAACACTAACTTTATCTGTTATAACTAAAATGAGATTAGAACTTTATCTATTTATTTATTTAATTTACAAGCCTTCAGTAGAGTGATATTATAATAAGGCTCAAGTCAATATTTAGCAGATATATAATTTAATTAACTATTAACTATTTTATTACTTTTTCATTTATTATTTAATTTATTTACTATAAACTTTGTCATTTATATTTAGTTAATTTTAATTATTTTTAAATATAAATAGTTTGTTTGTGGCAAGTATATTTTAACAATTTAAAAAGTATTTTAATAAGCTTTACAATACTTTTATAATATAATTATTTTGTTTAACAAATTTTAGGTTATTTTATGATATTTTAACAAATTTATAAGTGTTTTATATTATAATAATAATAATTATTTTTTTACAAACAAATTAGTAAGTATTTTTACAATATAAGTATTTTCTTTTACATCTTTTAAGGTATCTTAATAAAAAAAATATTTTGTTTCACAAATTTTTAAGTGTTTTTAAATTATAAGTTTATAGTTATATAACTAATAAGTATTTTAACAATAACAATTATATAAAAATAGTAATTATAAAAATAATAATAATGCAAGGTAATTTGGAAGGATGTTTGCAACAGGAATATTTAGTTTGATGTTGTGAAATATTGGTGAGTTTTTTAAACGACAAAATATATCTTATCACATAAATGAATGAATGAATCGCTTTGTGCAATGACATTATGTTTGAAGCATAATTATACAAAATCAAAAGATTTCTGAATTTATAAATTGATAATTAACTAGTGGAGTATAGCATCGTGCCTCAAGGCAAATTGCTGGAACATCCCTTACTGTAATGAAATATTCGAATAATATTAAATGTTTAATAATATTAAATTAATAATCAACTAGTGGTGTATAGCATCGTGCCTCAATGCAAATTGCTGAAACGTCCCTTACTGTAATAAAATATTCGAATAATATTAAATGTTTCCAAATAGATTATTATAATTATAAATACTGTACCATTCATTATTCTAATTTTATAGACAAAATATAAGAGCTTATTATATTATAAATTATTTATAAGATTAGATTTTAAGAGCTTATTAGATTATAAATTGGAGGATGATGTTTATGTAAGTTTACATGAAAAGTAAATAAACAAAACTTAATGAAGCGAAGTTAGAATGAAGAATCTGATCTCCTATTTTTAAGAATTAAATGTAAGTTAAAATTATTTATTTCAAGCATATAAGTGAGCTTTAGAATTTTAGCTAGAATTAAAATTAAAGTCCGAATAATTTTCGAAATTCAAAAAAAAATATCCATTTAGAAATAAAAAAAAAATCTGCTGTCCCCAAAAACAATAGCTTCGTTAATACAAGCGATTTTTTTTTTGAATAATTCAAATCGGAATCTTCGTTCCCTCAAAAACTACAATTTTTGCACGTTTAGCTCTGTATCTCTAAAATAGCTGGACCTGTTTTGGCTAAAATTTAATCACCATTTCTTGCCATTATTATGATTTTATTGTTTTTTGAATCATTCAAATTGATGGTCTGTTTTTTTCAGAAACTTTATATTTTCAGCACTTTTACCCCGTATCTTCAAAACGACTGGACCTCCCTTTTCAAAAAACTAATCAGCACGTTTCCCCATCAGTAGGAAACTAATATTTTTTGAATATTTCAAATCGGCTGATCCGTGCACCCGAAATCGTGACAAAAAATTGTAGACACAAAACATACACACACATACATCCATTTTTTTATGGTATGCCAAAATGTTCAGAAACCTCTAAAACGTGAAAAATGCTAAAATTTTCATTTTCGTTTTTTGGACGATTACCCTATGGGAAGTTAAAAATATATCCTTCGTGTAAAAATTTGGTAAATAGTTATTGTGAATCTTGAGCATGAGAATTATGTAAATTAAATATATTTAATGTACATATATGAATCTATATAAATGAAGTAAATCATTTAATTAAAGATTTAATATATTAGATATTCTTTATAATAAACATGCAGATAAAATCGTAAATATAATGTTTCTCTTTGTTTTGAAATGAAATTGAAAAGTATATCAAAGTGTTAAGTATATATGACTGTATAACTATTATAAGAAAAATTAACATATGAAAAATGACGAACTGCATTATACTAGTATTAACTAACATAAAACGACAAAACATACTTTCAAAGAAAAACATTGTTTGCGAAATTATTTCTATTGTTATAAAAAAAGATAACTTGTACACAATTTTTTTGACAGTGGTATAAATAAAAACGTTAAATTTTTGCCTGCATTTAACATTATCACGTTTTGTGAAATCGTTTCGAGATGATCTGAGAAGTACTAAAACAGACTGCACAGCCTCTTTCTAAGCAAAGTTAAACAAAACAATGCTGATGCTACGTAGGAACGCCTTAACATATGAGCTCTTATGTACCATTTATTAAGAGACAGGATGAAAAATCAATTGCATTACAAGATTACATTCAATCACTAATATATAATTATAATTTTAGCCAAAAAACTCTCAACATTTAATACAGTTTCGAGCGTAATTACCTGTTATTATTCTCACAGAACACAGAGACTTTTTCTCCGAGCTCACAATGATCGAGAGCAATCAATTTGCATAAACAGATCACTCAGTACAATCAACCACTATTATTTTCTACACGTACACAAAATATATACGTATTTTTATAACACATATGCACTCAAAACAATGTAAAAACAAACACGAAATGGACGCCCTTAAATTCACTTGATCATAACTGTGACATTAGGAGCGTTCGGCACTTAACACACACTGTACTTGGAATCACTTCACAGAATCTTGTCAAGGAATGTTTATCTTCTCATTAATAACATATAACCGTGTCCATTACCCGTACATTTTTACCAATTAGTCAAAAAAAATGTGCACTGTCTATCAACTGTACGACTCCATTTAGTTTCACCGCACAGACTAACAGAACTACACAAGTAACAGATCGGCGATCGTGCGACACCGACTACAGAGCGAGAAGCGCATGAACTGCAGCCAACATCAAGGTAACGACGAGTGCGCACGCCGCACGCCGCACACCTAGTTCGTACGTTCGTTCCGTCTCTATAGTTGGCTACACGTATCACATTCGTAGTTTCGACGGTTTCCGTTCATTCTTTGATCGCCTATACTTTTTACTATACTCAAATAATTCACTTGATTTGGGTGAATAATACTAAAGTAATTACATTGAAATTAAATATTGCATTATTTTGGTTCATTATATCTTTAGGTATATATTTTATTTTCTTGATTGTTAACTTTCCTTAGGGTAAGTTATAGAATTCACAAAAAATAACAACCGTCGCCTTAGGCAAATTGCTGGAACTTCCTGTACCGTAATTAAAAATCCGAGGAATGAAAATAATGAATAATTGTTTTAAATAATTTTAAATAGATTATTTATTATAAATAAATACTGTAAATTTATAAGTGCTTATTATATTGGGCGACGTGCGTATTCTACAAACAACTTATGTGTATGTTTGCAAGAAATTTGTTCAATTTTTTTTTAATTTCATTTTTTTGATATTTTTTTTTCAAAATCTTGGAAATTTTTTAAAAGTTCAAAATTTTTTGGAATTTCGGAAAAAATCGATTTTTTTTAAATTTTTTAAAAATTTCGAAATATTCTCAAATTTTTGTAAAAAATTTTTATTTTTAATTTTGATATTTTTCGAAATTTATATTTTTTTGAAAATGATGAAAAATTTTGAAAATTTGAGTTTTTTGAAGCTTTAAACTTTTTTGAAAATTTTGATTTTTTTTTTGAAAATATTCAAAACTATGAAATTTTTTTGTAAAACCATTTTTTGCATACCGTCTACACAAGCAAAATGTTTTTTGAATTAATCTAATTGGATGATCCGTTCTATCAAAAACTGCATGACCATTTTTACACCCTTTGCGTTCTATACCTCCGGAACGGCAAGATGTGCCTTTTGCAAAAACGAGTACGAATCAAATGTCTTTTTCATTAATGTCGAGGACATTTGCTTGAACCATATAAATAAACTTCAAAATAAAAATCTTGGTACGGCACAAAAAAAGTGTCACAAAATGTGCAAATATTATTAAAATCACTATAAAATATCTAATAATTTGATGTGCATATGTCTAATAATCATTTTTGACCGCCAAATAACATTTTTTTAACTTTTTTTTATTGAGAGTCCCTAACCGCTGAACCTGCCATACCAAAAACTTGAAAAGTTCTTCGTTTAGTCAATATAAGTAAAATGTTTTTTGAATTATTCAAATCGAACGTTTCATTTTCTCAAAAACTAAATTACCATTTTTGGGTCTTTTCGTCGAAACGGCTACACCTGCAAAAAACTAATCAGCACGTTCCCTTATCAATACGAATCGAATGTTTTTTAAATTATTCAAATCGGTTATATTTGTGTTCCCGAAATCGTGAAAGAAAATTTGTATCCGCACACACACACGCGCGCGCGCGCACACCCATACACACACATCCATTTTTTCTAAGGTATGTCAAAATGTTCAAAAGGTTTGAAATGTAAAGACATATGAAAATTTTAATTTTCGATTTTTTTTGCAGTTACTATAACTTACCCTACGGGAACTTAATAACTTAACCCTACGAGAAGTTAAAATAAGGATAAAACAAACAAAAAAAAATCCATTAAACTTAAAATAATGTGCAATAACTGAATTTTCAACATGTGATTCATATGATTACACGAAGAAGAAGTATATTTGTCATATAATTATTATTTGAAAATTTAATTTCTTCAATTTCAATTCATTCAAACTGAAAATCAATTGCCCGTATCTTTTTAAAACTTAGTTTCTTAGAATCATATCAAAGTGTAAAGTGACAAAAAAATCGGAGCAACTAAAGTAATAACAAGTAAATTTATTTAATTATATTAATATTTGAGAGCAATAAAATAGAAATATTGTTGATTTTTACATATTAGCATTTAAATGCTGTAAATTATATATTTTTTAATATCTGTGACAATAATTTAGACAAATTATACATATCATATCGTCAAAGTCTAAAAACGTTCATATATGATATTCGTAAAAATAAACCCATAAATTATCTCATATAAGTAGTAATACATTTATATCAAAATTGAATATAAATATGTTAATCAAACACACCTGTTAGAAATGGAATGAATCAAGCATAATTTATTTTTTTAAAATTGGAATAATATACTGATAATTTTAATTAAATATTTTTATCGAAGCTTTAGCAAAATATAGGATGTAATGTAAGAAAAACAAACGCTCAATGCCATTGTTATTTCCAAGAATAATAAATATAGTCTTATGAATATCACAGACGAGTTTTATCTATATGAGTCATTCATTCACAGGAATATGCGAATTAATAAAAAATGCGCATATAACGTAATTATTATAGTCGTTCAAAATAAGTTAATATTTGTTTAAATTAGTATTAAGTACCAGTTCTATCTAAGACCAAGCAAATCTAGTGCATCATTTGTTAAAAAGATAAATAAAAATACGAAAGATTTTTCGAAATATGTACATCATATTAAATATAAAATATGAACCAGTTAACTTTAAAATATTATTAAAATAATCATTGAGTAAAAATTGCATATCGTTTAAAAAAATCTTAAGTTAGCGTTTTTAATACTAATTGTAGTCAGTCAATTGATCTCTTAAAACTTTTGAGCTCTAAAGTTCTTTTTTTGAAATTTTCTAGAGATATAAATTTTACTTTTCAAGTAAAGTATATATAAAAGTAACTATGCTGAAATAAATTATTTTAATATGAAAACGTGGTTTTATGACGATAAAAAACACTTTGTAAGAAACGTTCAATGGATCAGTACGTCATGCACCTCACTGCGATATCTATGAGTAGTTATCACTTTCACTTGAACATGTATAGTAAATATTAATATAAATCGTATTTTCACATAAAATCTGATTGATTAATTCCTTAACTTGATAATATTCAATGAAAAATAAATATTATATCTAGGGATAGTAAATGGGTTACTACATGAGTAACAAAAAAATCTACATCTTTCTGCAATATATAGAGTGTTTTAATTGAATTACGAAAAAGTAGCTTAACCAGGGCCGAATTTAGAAATTTGGCGCCCTGGGGCACTGACAAAAATGCCGCCCCATCCCTAAAATTTTACTTAAATAGTTTTTATGAATGTATCATTTTTTTTAAATTAAAATAACTATTTGATTGTAGAAAATTTATTACGCATTAGATACTATTTGCCTTAACGCACAATGACATGCACTAGTTTCAATTTTTTTTTTTTGGCGAAATAAGATTCGAAGTGAACAAATTTGTCACTTTTGGAGGGCCCGAGATCTGAAGAGCATATTTTTCTTGAACTTTCACATCGTTTATGAATCTCTATATTAGCCAAATTGCCAAATTTGATAATAACATATTAACCAATTAGATAATTTACATTCGGAGAGCTAGACAAGGCGAAATAATGATTATTAATAATCAGTTATTTGAACCCAAATTTTGTATTGCAATCGTATTATGGTTTGTTAATTATATTTCTTGAAATAAAAATTTTATTAAAAAGAATTAGTTAATTATATTATATAGAATTTTTTCTCACTTTCCAAATTTTGCCGCCCCTGAAAATTTGCCGCCCTGGGCACTAGCCCCGACTGCCCCTACTGTAAATCCAGCACTGGGCTTAACCAACCTTTACCAAGAATTAATCAACACATTCTCTAAAAAGTATCACTAAAGCATACTTTGAATTTTTCAAATCGTATAAGAATATTTGAAAAAAATGTGGATAATTTTCTTTCATTCTTTATTACATGATAAGCTTAAATAATTGTTAAACTAATGGTGCATGGCATCGTTCCTTAAGGACTTCCCGTAAAAAAAATCATTTTTTGGCATCGTTCCTTAAGCTGGAACTTTCCGTAAAAAAAATATTTTTTTTGAAAAATATTGAATTTTCTTTTAGAACTCTGACAAAAAATGATTTTTGAAATTTTTGAAAAAATTGACCCTTTTGAAAAATTTGATTTTTTTAATACTTTGATATTTTGGAAATTTTGAACTTTTTTTCAAAGCGATACGTAAGCCGCGTAGAAACGAAATTTCGTAGCGCGTGGGCGCCGAGTCGCAGTATAACAAATAAACATTGGTACGGAACCCATAGAAAGTGAACAAAACTTGTTATTATTATTGCAATATCTATAAAATATGTGATAATTTGATGTGAATGATCATTTTTGTGTTCGGATTTTTGTCTTTTGTCATTGGATCTCCGAAACCGCTACGCCTGCCTTTCCAAAAATTTTATCAGTTCTTCATTTCGTCAATACAAATGAAGTGTTTTTTGAATCATACAAATCAGATGTTCCGTTCTCTCAAAAAATTAATTACCATTTTTGGCACATTTTGCTCCGAAACGGCTCGACCTGCCTTTATCAAAAACTAATAAGCACGTCTCCTTATCAATACGAATCGAATGTTTTTTTTAAATTATTCAAATCGATTGATTCGTGTTTCCAAAATCGTCGACGCAAATTTTTTCCAACATGTGTAAATAATCTACTTAACCTACAAGAAATTAATATATTCATTTACGACTTATAAGTATGTCGAGTTGCTGTAAGACTTTATGATGTTAAAAACTATTGCAAGTTTTTCCAAACACGTTAGTTATTTTCGAGACAAAGTTAAAATATTATACGTTAAACGCGCATACATTTTTTAATTTAATTACAATCTGTCGTTATAAACAACATTCAGTAATTTTAATGGTTTATTAAATAAGGAAAAAAAGTCGAATGGTCACCCAGTGGTAATTCGATTCGATGCTGGATATGTTTAGCTTAAAGATGTAGTTCTGATGTGAAAAAAATTAAATAAAGCCTACGAATAATTGTACATATTATA